AAATGATATTTAGTTGTGCATAATGTTGCAACAGAAAAAATACTAATAGTGAATTCTGTTGGTCGGTTCTCATGGTAAGTGTTTATCCTTCATTAGACATCTCCAGTGAGTTCTCTGGGCTGGTTCGGATTCTCGATTTTTGCCAGCATAGTGAATTTTATTTAACTTTTAATATCTTGCATGAATGACTGTATCAGGAGGAGAATTTGGGTAATGTTAAGTTTAGAGCATCTTTGGTGTATGATGTATGTGTCGTATTATTCATAATTTGTTGTGTCTTTTCAAGAAATTAAAAAAAAAAAAAATGAATTGGCCAGTTCTTGAGTTAACCATAGATTTGGGCTGGACCGGGAGGTTCAATTACGCAATCGGTGTCTAAGTCAATAGGGTTGGTTCCCAATTCCAAAAACTGAAAACAGCACTGACAAGGTGGGTTTTAAGTTTCGAGGGAAAAAAGTACCAAAAAAGCCTAAACATACAGCATTGGTACCAATTTAATTATAATCTTATAATTTGACCAATTTAGTCCTAAACCATTTGTATTTGTGCCAATTGAGTATATCTAGCCCATTTTGATTAGAAATCGCTGACATAGACGCAGTCTAGCCTACGTGGCACGAACAGCGCTGATGTGGACAAATTTGACTGTGATGCCCCAGAACATTACGCGCAACACGTGTCCCTTATGGTTATTAATATTTACTAATAATTAGGCCAACGAAAGTTAAAATCTGAACATTTCTTAATCATGAAAATCACACAAGTTTAGTCAAAGTACTTATGCTTCTTGTTATCATAACTTATTAGATTTACAAGTCCAATCAAACATCATATAATCACAAAAAACAAAAGTCTGGGTACGTCGAGGTTGTCTATCTCTACACCAGATTATACTCTAAAAGTCTGCTTGTACAAAAGTCTGATGACGTCATGGATCGATAACATCGCCCTCCGTTGCGGGACCATCACCATCTATGTTGAAGGTTACGGTACCATGCAACAAACCGATAGGGAACCCACTCCGTAAAACCCACGTCGATTCACACAGTAGAGCTACATTTAGTATATAGCACTTCAGACTCATGTACAAATATTGTTTCATAGATGCCTTCATAATTCATCGGAACTCCGAAATGCAAAGATTGTGGAACATCCATCCTACACGTCTGAAAAATAAAGGAATGAATTGAGGCCCAATAAATGAAATCTCTAGTTTTAAGTTAAGAAAATCATATTACTACTTCACCTGGCACAAATAACATACATGCATAACAACCAGTATGCATAGAACTTAAATAAATGTTATACCTCTTCCATTTGGATATGCCACAATATTTGATCATTTCATTATTCCACAATATTTTCATTCAGACACCAGCATATGATATATAGCATTCATACTCATGCTTCGTTACTTCTCCCCCTGAACACTCCTGAGGCATTCCGACCTACGGGGCATCTCAACTCTTGAGATATCCTTGTACACTCTCCGGGGCATCTCGACTCCCGAGACATCTCGGTATACCCTCCGAGACATCCTGACACACAGGGTATCGTCACCGTTGATTTGTGGGTGACGAAAATTATATTATTCTCTTGCAAGTTATGATAATTGAGCATTTGCATGCATATACTCATCTTCTTTTCACATCATATATCCCTTAAAGCAATTAAATGCATTATTCATGCAAATAAGTATGAAACAATATGTGATCAGACTCAAAAGGCAAAAATCTACTCAAGTTCAAAAAGTAAATTTACTCAGTTTATAAAGTAAATCTATTCAAATTTAGAAAGAAAATATATTCCTGTTCTAAAGTAAATCTGTTCGGGTTTAGAAATAAGTATGTCTAGATTTTGAAAGTAAAATCTATTATGATTTAGAAATAGTAAAATATTTTCTGGTTTAGAAATAAGTATATAAATATTTTGAGAATAAAATTTACTTGGTTAAGAAATAGATATATCCAGATTCAGATTTAGAAATAAATATAACCAGATTTAGAGAGTAAAAATTTACTTGGGTTTAAAAATAGATATACACAGATTTTTGAGATAAAACCTACTTGGTTCACAAAATATATATATCCAGATTTTGAAAGTAAAGTCTACTCGAGTTCAATATATATGTATCCAAATTTTGAAAGTAAAATCTACTCGAGTTCAAGATACATATATCCAGATTTTGGAAGTAATGTCTACTCGAGTTCAAAATACCTATATCCATATTTTGGAAGTAAAATCTACTCAAGTTCAAAATACCTATATCCAGATTTTAAAAATAAAGCTTACTCGAGTTCAAAATACCTATATCCAGATTTTGAAAGTAAGGTCTACTCGTGTTCAAAATACATATATCCAAATTTTAAAAGCAAAGCCTATTCAAGTTCAAAAATACATATATTCAGATTTTGAAAGTAAAGTCTATTCGAGTTTAGAAATCAATATGTCCAGATTCAGAGGGTAAAATCTACTCGGTTCAGAAGCCAATAGATTTTACGAACGACAGTTGAGTCTGAACCTACAAATATGACTTTTCCAAGTTTAGATTCATCATTTCCACTTGCCAAATGTACTCCACTTTAAGTAAAACGATTATCTACCTTAAAAACATGCATAAGACCAGCAAGACGAATTCCACAATCATTTCAACGATAACATTTCCACGTTTAGATCTAACAATTGCACTTGCCAATTATACCACACTTTAAGGAAACAAATCACACCCATTTTTACCATGCTTGAGACCATCCAAACAATTCCACAAATCACCATATTGTCACTATTGTAACACATCAAAATAACATATTACAACCATCCAAGTTAAAAGTAACAAGTAGATTAATTTAACTTAATGCTAGAGTCTTCACTTACCTCGCGCAAAATCTAAACAACCCGAAGTTAAAGCCCCTATGTAGATCTTGAATCCGGTAGTGGTGAAAGTAGATTATCTTTGAGAGTTGAAAGTGAAAAAGGAAGTTACGACTAAGATGAAAAATTCCCTCCGATGTAACCAAGATGAAAATAAAGTAGAGGAGTAGATTTTGAAGTGGAAAAATGCATGAAGTCACAAGTGGCAGATCTTTTCTTAATCTACGGCCAAGTGTGTGAAGTCAAGACATATTAGAGACGAATAATAGCCAAGATAATTGTGGCTTATGGTTATGTGTCTTATTAGTGGAAAAGGCTTAGCTTAAAAGAGCATGTGGCATGCTTGAATTCTCCAAATAGAGCATGTGGCCATGCATTAATCCTCCCTATGCCACGATTGGTGTCTTAAGAGTCGGTTTAGTGGAATTTTATATTAAAAACAGAGACTCCTCTTCCTTTTATCACCCATTAGCACAAAATAAATTATTAACACTAATTAACTAGAGTTTAACTAATGATATTACTCATCAATAACTAAGGCGACGGTAAATTAATTAACACCACTCTACTATTAATGTACACATCAACGTTTACAAATTTTAAACTCGTCTAACTCAGAATGATTGCGTTCCAGAATCCGCGCCTCACAAATGTACGGTCCAACAACGATTTCTACACGTCCACACGAATACTAAGCTAAATAATACTTAGCTTTATAATCTAAGCATCATTATTAAATACGGAAAATTTCCAATGCTACGTACATATTATTACGAAATTTCTGGATGCCAGATTTACAAAATTTTAATTTTTTATGAATTTTAAATATTTTTATTTTCTTTTTTTCATTGTGGCCACGAGGGTCACAACCCTCACTCAAGCCATCGCCCACCGCTAGGCCCTCGCTAGAGGCCGTGAGGGATCCAAGTGAGGGCTGCACCGAATCCAAGCGAGGGTTGCAACTTGACCACAATAAATAAATAAAAAATTAGAAAAAAATATTAAAATATTATAAATTTTGTGCACGTCAGTGTCAATCGTGTTATATAAAATGGACGACATCTATGTCAGCTATTTCCAACCGAAATTAGCCGAATGGACTCAATTGGCATAAATGCAAAAATTTTATAACTAAATTGATCAAATCAAAAGCTTTAGGACTGAATTTGTACCGGTGCAATAGGTTTATAACTTTTTTTGCTACTTTCTCCGGGCTTCAGATCTGCAATCTACCCATCCCGAAACCAATCATCCCGTTTTCTATATTGTTGGCTTTTCAATTTTTCCTATTGGTCGGGTGACGACGCCCGGCTTGACCCAACCCGATTTTCCTGGTTTGTTCGGCTTGGACCCGTTGCCACGGACCAAGAAACAAGTGGTCAAAACAAATTGTCTTTGTCGATGGAAAACGAAAACTAAAATGGCCCGATCGTGGTTGGATGGTCCGAACGGTCCAGGCACGAAACTACCCTTCCTCCGCCACCATCAGGAACTTTGTTTGAACCGTCAACCTTCCCAAATTCAACCCATCGTTTTTTGAACTTTCCCCCGAACAACACGTCTTCCTGATTTTCTTCCACCACTGTAAAATAAACAAATAATTGTATACCCTTCAAATGACACAAACAATCTCTAAATTTTGACCAAATATATAATTTGATCTCTAAACTTTTAATTTATTCAATATAGTCCCTAAAATTTAGTCTAATATTCAATGTGGTTCCTAAACTTTTAATATGTTCAATATGATCCTTAGACTTTTGGTATATGGTCAATTTAGTCCCTGATCTATACGAAAATATTCAATGTAGTCCTACCATTAATTTAAATTCAGGGATTACATTGAACATTTTCATATAGTTTAGAGATTTAATTAAATATGTACCAAAAGTTCATGAATTATATTGAACAGATTAAAAGTTTAGGGACTATATTGAACATTAAGCTAAAATTCATGAACCACATTGAACAGATTAAAAATTTTTGAATCAAATTGGACATTTGGTTAAAGTTGAAGACCGTTTGTGTCGGTATCCCGCCCATAAAAGCACTTTCACGTAGAAAACCCAAAAAGTAAAATATAAAATAAAAAATGAAAAAGATAAAGATAAAAACCATCTATTCCCACCACCTGTTTCGCCTCCGTTCCAGTGCGCTCTCTCTGACCAACTCCTCGTTCCTATCCACAGCAAAGCAATCTCCCTCTTCTTCAACACCCGCTCTTCTCGCCTTCGTTCACTCAGGTACGACGCAGGAACAAGCTCGTTTGGAAGCGAATCAGTTCGTGGGTTCCGCCGAACTGCTTTTGATTCGCGAAGATTTGATTTGGCGGGGGTGAATTGTACACAGAGAGAGAGAGAGAGAGAGAGAGAGAGAGAGAGAGAAGAATGGAGTCGTCGTCCATGGTGGAAAGAGCGCTCAAGTCCAGCTTCCGCAGCAAGGTGGAGGAGGGCCAACACGCGGCGGTCGAGGACTGCCTGCTCGGCCTCGGCGGCGCGTCCTCGGCCGCCTGCAACGACGATTTCGCCGTCGACGACTTGTTCGACTTCTCTAGCGACAGTGATGGGGAGGTCGAAGAAGAAGGAGAAGGAGGAGGTGAGGACGACGGCGAAGGGGAGGAAGCGAAGGACTCTGTCTCTGTTTCTTCGCAAGAGGGCGCTGACGATTGCTCCAATCTCGGTTCCTCTTCTCCGGCCTCCGGCGAGCCTATCTTGACCGGTGAATTGACCGTTCCGGTAACGGATTTTATCTTTATTTTATTTATCGAAATAACTATTTTTGTAATTTCCTTAAGATTTTATTTTTTGTGAAGCTTTTTATTGTCAGATTTTTTTTTTTTGAATTTATGCTATGTCGATTGGAAAAATTGCATTCCCGCGCTCGTTAATCATGGTCATGTGAGAACCTCGTGAGATAAATTAAGGTGGTATTTTTAAATTAGAAAAAAGAGAATGATTTTTATCAATTTTTATGCGGTTCGTAAAGGTTAATTTTTTTGTTTTTGGTAATTGCATATCAATGATTTTATTAGATTTTCTTTTTAGCTACGATTGATTATTTATTTTTAATAACCTGAATATCATATGCTGTTCTGCAGGATGTTGTTATAGCAGAGCTTGAATGGTTGTCTCAATTTGTGGAAGATGATTCCCCGCCCGAATTCCCGACTTGTTACCTCGCCGGAAAATGGAAACAAGAAAGCAGTGCCGAAAACCGGTCCGAGCCGGAACCCAGACCGGTTTTCATGAGACCGCCCTGTTTTACTTCGCCTGTTCCGGTCAAGACCCGGACCAAACGGACCCGGCCCGCGAAGAAGGACCGACCACCGTCCTCCTCCGAGTCATCTTCGTGCTCGTCGGAGAACTCGTCGAGCTCGTGTCTTTCTTTCACGAGCGTGCTCACGCACATGGAATTCGACCACGGCCGAAGCGAACCGGAGAAGAAGAAGAAGGTGAAAAAGACGAGGGGGCCGCCGGATCAGGCCGGCCAGCTTCAGTTCCAGAGGCGCTGCAGCCATTGCCAAGTGCAGAAGACCCCGCAGTGGCGGGCCGGCCCGCTGGGCCTGAAGACGCTCTGCAACGCGTGCGGGGTCCGGTACAAGTCGGGCCGGCTCTTCCCCGAGTATAGACCAGCTTGTAGCCCGACGTTCTCGGTCGAAGCTCACTCGAACAGCCACCGGAAAGTGTTGGAGATGAGGAAAAGGAAGGAGGTGGCCGGGAACGGAATTGAAGGAGGCGGATTGAAGTTGAACCGGATGGTCACCAGTTTTTGAAGGGTCTGTTGGGTTAGGAGAAGAGGTCATTCGAACCGGACCGGTTCAGTGGGTTTTTTTTTTCTTTAGTATTATACATTTTTTTTTTCTAGAAGTAGCTACTAGCTATTATTTGCTTTTAGCGTAGGTTAGATTAGACGGAGTGCAGGTAGTTTAAACTAATAGTTTCTCATTTACCTGGGAGACCAGAATGATTACGAGATATGGATCTGGTTCGTCGTCTTTTAAAAGATTATTATTGTAATGTTAGAACTTACCATGTATGGCATATTTAGAAAAAGACAATTATTAGGTGGATTTGTGTCGGAATTGTGGCCCAAAACAAAATTTGTTAGTGATCGGAACCCGAGAAAGTCAAGTCTAATTCAAATTATTAGGTAAATTCATCTCGAAATTTTGGTCCAAATTATTACTTGTCGATGGAATTTTCTATACGGTAGAAGTTTCGTTTGACGTTTGATGTGTGTATCGGTTTAGCGATTGGCGCCTGATAAAGTCAAAGTCTAATTCAAATTACAGTTTGAATCGATGTCACAAGCTGTTGAAATGTTCAAATGGATTTGGCGGTTTCTTATGGTCGTCGAAAACCCAATTCTAATAATAATAATAATAAATTGGGTGGTGTGCGATCTTGCCATTTGATGAGGTCAAGCTAGCGAAACAAAATATCTGAATAATTTTATCAACGTGGTTCATGACTGATTCGCATGCTTGTCAGTGTCACACCATTTTGTGCTGCGATTATATATATGCGTATGAAGCAATGATGATAAAAAAAAAAGAATTTTTGAATTTTCGATCCTTAATATAGAAAGATAAAATTGTATTTACAAGACTAATATTACCTTGTGCTATAATTTATAACCCTAGAGAATAAATCTCAAAATCCTAATATTATCGGTCTTAACATAGATAATTACTAAAGCCACAAATAATAGGGAAGCGGACACTAATAGTCTCTTTATTTTTTAAAATTATGCAATTACATCCTTAAATAAATTTTTTTTTACCAATTGAGCCTGTGAGTCATATAAATTTTTTTTTTCTACTAGTTGTTTCGTAACGAATGGAAAAACTAACATAACTGTTAGGCTACCGTTAGATGTTGCATCAGTTATGTGACATCCCAAGCGGCATCTAATGTGATAAAAACTCATAGAAAACATAAAATAAAATGAATAAGTTGTAAAAATTTCTCAAATGTGATTGATCTCGACGATTATCTCTCTTATCAAACATACATGAATCTATATATATGTGTGTGTGTATATATATACACACCTAAAAAAATGAAAAGTCAAACGTCAATGCCCCACTATCAGCCATATCACTTTCAAATTTTCAATGGCCTAAATGAAATCGTCGTTATCAAGACTCCGTCAACTTGGCAATTGGCATGATAAAGAGGGGGGCAAATTGAGTCGCGTTCTCCATCGAGTTGGCCCGATTGTACTTTACTTTATTGTATGTGATATTCTATAATTAGAATTCAAATTTTAACTTATTCGACAAATTACAAGTGTACACGGCGGATCACATCGATGTTTATCTCGAATTCATTGTTTGAGAAATTAGTCTAGAAGAATGGGGAAATTATTAATTTGCCCCCTTTAGTGGACAAGAGAGTAACAATTCACCTCTTGAACTAAATTCTTTGTCAAATTTACCCTTATATGTTGAGGTGTGATTCATACTCCTCAGCGACTGGACAGCACAGGGTTCTCACTCCCCGATGAGCAGGCAGGAGTCCGGGGGGGCCGCCCTAAGGGAGTTGCAGGGATAGTGCCCTCGAGCCGCTAGAGGGTTTTAATAGTTTGAATCCGAAAAATGAAAGTTTCCTTATTGAATGGTTTTCTAATTGGAGTAGGTTTCCTAAAAAGAGTTCCTATTTTAATCAAACTATTATCTATATATATTCTCTTTCTCTTATAATTGATAGATGTAAAAAAGAGGTATGAGGTGATAATTATAGTGAAATTCTCTTATGGACGTAATCCTAGTTTAAAGATGAATCAAGATAAAAACCTTGTGTCTCGATTTTCTTTCTCGTTTTTTATTTTCTATTTCTTTGTGATTATGTGGCTAATCCTAACACCATCGACTAAAGCCGATTGACCTAAAGCACTTGCTACGTCATCCACCAGACATTGGCACTTGGGGTAATACGTATCTTCTATCCAATGTGGACCATGTCTTGATCATTAACAAAGTATGTATTTTTCAAAAGATGTTAAGTGATTGAAGGGTGGATTTGACGAATTTAAGTTCGAGTACAGAGTAAATTGACATTTTCTATCCACTCCAAGAGACAAATAGATGATTTTCCTATGTTCTTCTACAGCTTCAATATGAATTCTAGATCTGTCAAAATTGATCATAAACCCATTTCTTAACCCATATTTGATGGTTTGGGTTGTCATATTGGTTAATTATATTAAATAAATGAGTCATAAAATCTAAACAATATAGATGTTAAATGGATTCACAACTTACTTAGACCCAACTCACCTATATGGCTCTTTTTCACTCTCTCTCGTCCTCACTCGATCTCGCGCTTGTTCACTCCGTGCTCTCGCTCCAGTTTGGGTATCCATGTTTCTATATTCAATTAAATATGAAAGTATTTTAACAATATAGGTCAGGTATTGGTCACTAGATTTATATTCTATGGACATGGGTCAATTAAAATCGGACCATTTTCGATCCGACTCACTCGTTTAACGGGTCTAATGATTCAAGTCTAACTTTTATCATAAGTAAGAACAGAATCCTTTCTCGATTATGTTGCTGTAATGCATGCTGATACGATGCATAAACCTATTAATTACTTAGCATGCATAGTTTTTCAATTGTTAACAACAATATTATGATATATGATGTAGAAGACATGAAACTTTTTCAATGTTAATATTCATTTTAGTTAAAAAAATATCATAATCTAAGGAGGCTTAAGATTAATATGAGGCAAAAAAGATATTGCACTATTATTCTTCCTTGGCATGTAATACGTAAATAGAAAAAGGAAGTGATATTTTTAGCATACAATTTGGAAGTTGTATTTGGAGTAGGTTCATTTACAAAGAAAAAGTGAAAAAAACAATGCGCTTTGTTTTCAATAAGATGCAATATCAATTCTTTTTTCTTACTAAGACTCTATCGCAAATTTAAATTAAGAAATCATTTTTTTTATAATATTGAAAGTAACAGGAGTTATTTCCTCTCTTTAATTTCATCATAACGAAAAGAATCATATTTAATAATTTCTGTATCAATCCTCGATAATGTAATAAGATATTCTATACTTCTCAAACTGAGTGAATTTATCTAGTTTATAATTCTTTTAATGCACTAAACTAAATTACTTGAATAAAATAAGTTATGCTTTTACTAGCAATAGTTTAATTATTAACTTATATCCGTAGAGTGGAATTTATTCAGTTAATGGTATAAGCTATACTTGAAATTGTTGATAAATTTTTTGGTGATAAGATATAATTTTACTTTTTAATTTTTTTAATCTTAATGTTCTTAAATATTTATTTTTAAATATTTATATGAATAGTTTGATTGTAACATTTTGGAATTAAGTAAATTCTTTTCATGTATTAGAATAAGCTATACTGCACCTTATTTATAGTAACAACTAACAAGTAAACAAAATGAAGTTTCTAATTAAGTGAGATTTATATATGTAATGAAATAGGCTGTAGTTGAAAACCCAGATTTTATTTTCGATCAGTAAAAGATAAAAATTTAAGGAAAAAACCCTATTTGCAGAATTGTTAATGAGTCCTCCGATAGCTTTTAAGTGATATTCGTAATGACATGAGTTATATTTGCAAAATATAAGTACATTAAATGGGGCATAATAATGTAAATCAAATGAAGTTCCTTAAATTATTGTCAGAATATTTTCAAAATAGCTATATTATTTAGAAAAATTATTTGATATACTTTTCTTTTTGTATTTTCCAAGTTTAACGTTGAATATTGGAGGTGTATATAAAAAAAGACAAACTTATATTACAAAACTCAATATTCACGAGTTTTGTCCTTATACATATTTCTAAATATCAATTTAAATGCATTTCCTTATTGATTATGATTCTTTTTTGTAAGTGATTCAAATATTCAAATGTCAAGGACATCAATACAGATACAAATATAGATATCCGATTATGTCTGTGCAAAGAGTGAACAAAGTAATTAGGAAAATTTTCAAATAAGAATCCAAAATGAAACCGTTTTTTTAAAACAGGATTTAAAGTGGATATTGGAAGTACCTAAATTAATTAAAGTAGAAGCATTATATGGATACGACATGAGTTTCTAGAGAGAGATCCTTCACGTCGACAGAAGTCAAACCAAAGATCGTATGGTCATAATCTCTTGATATGACTGTTCTTGATGTCCTTTTGAACGTCTAGCCTTTACAAACATCGGCCTATGACCGTGACTCCCGGAATCGGTTTTTATTCATTATCATAGCAAGTATCTAAACCTTTTCCCCGAAGCACTCAAGAAAAAAAACTTGCAACCTAAAATTGAAGTCTTGTTAAAAGTACTCAAGATGTAAAAACAAAAAAAAAAATTTGATGTGGGGGATGCACTCAAAAGACCGTTCGAAAAGATGAACTAACTAAATTGTTCGAAAACTGATGCCAAACCATTTCATTTATAGGTCCACAAAACCACAGCCACTGCCTCTAAAATTACATGTTAGTTGTGATTGGAATGTGTCCATGGTTGGTGACACAATTTGATAAATTTTTCAATGACCTGAATGAGGAATTTTTAGGCCTAATTTAAAAAAAAAAAGCACCAACTTTACTTTGAATGACAATTCTTGCATGAACTTTTTTTTTGTCTCATAACAAATCACTAACTTTCACTTAAATCTCAAATGCGGCCTGGACAATTTGAAATTTTCATATTACGAGGGCCAGATTTGGAATTCGAGTAAAAATTGATGCTTTTTATTTAGACAAAAAAATGTTCAGGTTAAAATTGCCACTCAAAATAAGTTGGTGTTTTTTTTTTTGAATTAGCCAGAATTTTTATGAGGTTCGTGCTGGGAGAGGGGGATCGAGATGAATGTTTATTCACTTCGTAACATTTCAGAGTGTGTAGAAGATGTCGGGTGTGCTTGAAAGCGGGAGTTAGTGTAATCATTTAGCACATTAATATATTCATTAAAAAAATAAAAAATTGAAAATTATGTATGTAGTTGCCAGATATATCGTAAACTTGCGATTCATCTCAAACAATGGGGATAAAGAAAGACAGTTTTGATTTTTAACTTGTCCATT